TAAGACTCTGTCAGCGCCATATTGGGACATTTGCGGCTTCACTTTTCAACAATGGAGAGTGTAGGTGTCGTCCATCTTTTTTTACTGTCTATGGTCTACCTTCATATACAGAGATCATGAAAGCACAGTAACAAGATTGCTGTGCCAGTCTCCCTAACACACACACCTATTCCAAAAGAAGGATTCATTGCATGATACAGCAAGATCCGTGTCTTGATGGTGGTTTTATGACTATGTTTGTCACTGTGTGATCTTTATGATCATCACCACATTTATGAGACTCATCCAGAAACCACATAGAGGAACTGGAGATTAGCTGAATCAGCGCATGTCTGATTGCGGATCGCTGAAGCTCATGCTCTCTGACTCCGTTGTGCCGTGTGGCAGTAAGAGGGTCTGTCAGAAATGATCCCACGCTCACCCTCCTCTTCATAACCCCTTCATCCTCCAGTGATCACAGAGCTCCTCTGCCAGCCTGCCAGTTTACTGGATCAAAGCTGGAGGACGGGGGTCTGGGATGAGTGTTATGTGGTGTAGGGGAGGAATTATGAGTAATGTGAGAGACAATGATTATGTCAGTAGCATGGTGAGATAATAAAACAAGGGTAGGAATGTACAAACAGTTTAGTCTGATTCCCAAATGAATTACTCTAATCAGTTGGTTCTTTTTAGTGAATCAAAAACATACAGCGTGCCCATTCTAGCCTGATTCCTAAACATAATGACTCTTATAAGCCGGTTCTCTTTGGTGAATAAAAAAAATAAAAAAAATACAGCATGTCCCGTATAGCCAGATTCATAAATTATGTAGTCTTATGAGATGGTTCTTTTATAGTGAATCAAAAATCATATATTGTAGTTCTGCCAGTATAGTCTGATTCCTGAATGAATGATTCTAATGAGCCATTTCTTTTTAGCGAATTAAAAACATACAGCGTGACCAATCTAGCCTGATTCATATACAGATGAATCTTACGAGCTGGTTCTCGTTTAGTGAATCAAAAACATGCAGCATGACAATTTAGCCTGATTCCTAAGCGAATGACTCTTATTTAACTTTGGTTTTGTTATTTTTTGGGGTGGAATAGTTACGGCATCCAACAGCAGGGTATAACCTGGTCATACGAATATCAGCCAAACCATGACTCTTTTAGCAATTCATAAACAAATCACTGTTTTGAGACAGTTCTTTTAATGAATCGTTCAAAAAGACTGACTCACAAGTTAACAGTATGAATCAGTCTTAACAAATTATTCCATCAGAGTGGGTGGAGGTTTTCCCTGTTGCAAAATAATACATTATGTAGAAAACATTGATGGGTAGCAGATTTTAAACTGATGTAGCAGAATAAGCTATCTATTTTCAGTAGACTTGGGAATACTAGTGTTGTTGAAATCCAGTTTGGTGAATCAGAGGAAGAGTTAAGGAAAGAAAAAGGCTGACTTCTCAGTACAGAACACTCTGAATGAATGGGGAAATGATTCATGAAAAAAGAGAGAAAGTGAGGGCCAAATATGGAAGTCCCTGAGTAAAGGTTGCTGTCCTTTCTGTCTGGTCTCCTATATTCCAGCAGGATCAGAGGAATGCTGGAGAGGAAGAGACTGAGGGAAGGATGAACGGAGGCTTTAGCTGATGGTTTTAAGGCTCTTGGCAGCAGGAGATAGAGGAGCTTTGGAGTCCAAATTTGTTTGAACAGAATGTGCTTTTATTGTTATTTGTGTTGATTCTGAGAGTAATTTTACAAGGCATGTTGTTAAATGTGAGGAAAAGAGCATATTACCTCCAGATGCTGTTAAAAAAAAATATTTGTCAAGGCTTACAGCTTGAACGTCCACTTGTCAACGAAGAGTTACTGTATGTATGTAATACATCTTATTTTCTTTCTTTTTTTATACTTCCTCCCGTCCAACCTAATGTGTAGAAACTACAAGTACGCCGTTCAAACATTTTTGGTTCCCTGAAAGTCTGTGTTTCCATCTGAAGTTGCGAATAACCCCTTCCCTGTCGTTGACAAGTTTGTCCGGCAATCCACGTGTTCACTGTTGGTTGTACGGTAGGGGGCACTTTTACACATCTTCTGAGATAGTACATAATCTCTGGATCTAAAAACAAGCAAAGGAGGAGAGACAATCGATAGAAGCACTGCTTAAGCACATGTAAGCTAACTTGTTGTCATCAAACATTCCACAGCATATAAATAAAACTGCCTAATGTTAACGAATGAAATGTATAATAACCTATGAAGAGGTATATAGGGGTGTTGATGGACTCAATCTACTCCCATCTAGGTTTTGATAATCGTTCTTAAAGGGTTAGTTCAGCCAAAAAAGAAAATTATGTCATTAATGACTCACCCTCATGTCGTTCCAAGCCCGTAAGACCTCCATTCATCTTCGGAACACAGTTTAAGATGTTTTAGATTTAGTCCGAGAGTTTTCTGTCCCTCCATTGAAAATGTATGTACGGTATACTGTCCTTGTCCAGAAAGGAAATACAGACATCATCAAAGTAGTCCATGTGACATCAGTGGGTTAGTTATAATGTTTTGAAGCATCGAAAATACATTTTGGTCCAAAAATAACAAAAACTATGACTTTATTAAACATTGTATTCTCTTCCGGTTCTGCGTTCACGAGTCCGCAGTGATGCTGGTGACGTAAGACGCTGCTGACGTGTTCTCTGGTTACTGGTTACAGAACCGGAAGACAATACAATGTTTAATAAAGTCATAGTTTTTGTTATTTTTGGACCAAAATGTATTTTCGATGCTTCAAAACATTCTAACTTACCCACCGATGTCACATATGTCACACCGAAGTCTAGGAATTTAGCGCAAAATACCTGTAATACAAATGGAAGTTGCTGCAATTGTAGAAGCCACTGTGGCTCTTTTCACTGTGTACTCATTTACTGTGTAGTCACTACTATATTTCGTTGAAAAATAAATTATGGTTGTCATCTGTTTTTTGTTTTAAACAGTAAAAATGTAGCTGAAGGGTCAGCGAAAAGTCAAAATGATCTTGTACAATTACATTATGTCTGTTTTAGTGCAAGAATTGTTGAAGTGTATTTCACAGAAAAAATAGAGCATGGTCCCTTTAAAAGAATATGTTTACATTGGTTTTCATTCAATGATAATCTTTTAAAGTTTATTTTGACTAGTTTTTCTGGAATGTTTTTGACAGGTTGTTTTAAACAGACTTGTTTATCCTAAATAATTGTTTTGTTCTTTATAAGCTGGGTCTAAGGCATCCAGGTGTGCCAGAGGTCTTTTTTTTTCTCTAGAGGCGGCTTTGATTTACATTTGAGTAAAGTCAGATTAAAGTTCTGACACGTTGGTTGAAAAGTAAGATGGCTGCCTTTGGTTCATGCGGTTCTTCTCTTTGCTCAACATGATTTGTTGAGCCCCACAACAGAAACATATGCCCGAGGTACTGTAAATCACAGTGGTGTGGTCCTGTCAAACTCAACACAAAACCCTGTTCTTACTGTATATGAAAACAAGCCTTGGAAATATGTTCCGGCCAATTATAAAGCCGAATCGGAAGAAAAGTTCCTCTCTGAATTGGCACATAAACGCAAGCCTACAGTTGAAATACTTGAGATTATTTATAAAAGGGGTGGATATGGTGCTCCTGTAGTATTGTATTTCTGTAATTATAAGCAGTTAAACCTATTAGCAGTTTAATTTCTTCCTTAGCGGTTGGGGATTTGCAGAATTAAACTAGTGCAACATATTTTCTACACACCGGGATCAGAATTCACTTACTAAGAGCCCAATTTGAGATAAGATGCCAGCTGGCCAGTAACTTTTTTAAGAGCTTCCACACAACATGGGTTAAAACCGATAACCTGACCATCATTAAAAATCAAAGATATAAAAACTGTTAAAAAATAAAGAATGTGTCTATATGCACGTTTAAAAACTCAAACGTTACTTTTATTGTAAGTTCTCAGTGTAAAGTTTACTATCTTGAGTTTATCTAGGATGCCTAAAATGTTTTTTTTTTTAACAGAACTTTGTAGATGCACATACTGTATATGTAATAATATTACATATACAGTATGTGCATCTACAAAGTTCTGTTCTGATATTATCAGAAACTGTATTAGGCAGACATGGTTCAGTCATACATAAATGGGGGAAAAAAGAGGAATAACATTATGCTTAAATTATAAATAATGAATAAATTTGTATTATAATAATATATGGTACCATTGAATGATATATTATTTAGAATAATGTTATAAATAAAATTAAACACAGTTTGTTTCACTATATTGTACCAAATGCCTTCACTTATATAGTTAAACTTTTTGACAACCAACTAGTGAGGACATTTTACTGGTTCATGCAAACCGTGCATTGACACACACACACACACACACACACACTCACACACACACGCACACACACACACACACACACACACACACACACACACACACACACACACACACACACACACACACACACACACACACACACACTCAGCAGTAGGCAAGATTAAATTGGACTTCAGGCTGCCAATATTGAGGTCGGAATGTTAATGAGAGTTCTCTATGGGGACACATTGAGAAAGAGAAACTGAGAGAGAACACCGCATGTTGTGAGATTCAGCCTGTGGTTTCTGTACACAGCTCCTCAAAACCATCAATAAAGAGATAATCAAGGACACTAGAGAGAGAGAGAGCGAGCGATGCTTGATCATTATTTCATGTAGGTGCTGAGTCAGAGGCTGCGAGCTGGTTTTTCTTTAGCTACTGCACTAATGCACACAGACAGTACTCTGCTCAACCTGCCACACACTGGCAGACTGAAGAACTGCAGTTTGAACAGTGAAAAAAGCACAGTATTTTATCTGGGAGCTTTAGTTATGAAGCATCTGTCACATTAATACAATAAAACCATCCAAATAGGCTAACCTGCAAACAATTAGTTAGAAAGTGAACCACATGAAGATCAACTCAAAACTCTTTTCCCTGTTTTCTCCTGCAGAAAAGCTCTACATCTCAACCGGACGTGAGCTGCGAAGAGCTCTGTTCTCTCTCAAGCAAATCTTTCAGGTAAGCTGCCCCACTTCGAATTAGCGTTAGCACGAAGCACCTGCTAATGTCTTTTTCATCAGCAGCACATGTGTGTGAATATGTGTCTGTGTTTTTATGCATGTTTGAGCTGTATGGGTATGCTGGATTTTCTCTCTGCACAGAAATTTCCAGATACCAAAGCTGGAGTCTCCATCATTGATTGATTTTAAAGCTGTGCTGGAAGCTACTGTTTTTCCTCTAGAGGAACCATGTCTGAACATCGCACTGTGTGTGTGTATGAGATTAAATGTCTTTCCACTAAAGTTTTAGCATTTTTAATGACAAAAGCATCTGAAACTTTCACACTTGTCAACAAGTGCGTAATTTAAACCAGCCAGAGGCTATACATAAACACACACACAAATACTCTGGAGCACAAACAAACACAAACATACATAGCTTTGTGAGAGCACATATACAACTGTGTTGGGGAAGCTACTGACCTGTAACTTTTCAGGCTACACACTACTCATAATTCAAAGTAGTTCAACAACAGTGAAGCTACCCCCTTTTACCCTAAAAACTAGTTACGTAGCTACAATACAAGATGCTAACAAGCTAACTATAGCTAGCTTACTACCGTATTTTCCGCACTATAAGGCGCACTTAAAAGCCTTTAATTTTCTCAAAAAACGTCAGTGCGCCTTATAATGCGGAGCGCCTTATATATGGATGGGGAGACAGCGCCGGCCGACTTACGCCACTATCTGGCAATGGATCTTGGATGCCTGGGCTGATATATCAGTCTCCTGTGATCCGAGCTTTCACGAAGGCAGGAATAATCTCTTTATTCAGCCAGCTCACATACCCGTATTTACTTCCTGTTTTGGCCCGAAGTCCACAGTAGTTGATTGTCGAGTTCGCGCACGCGCGATCAAACCTCCTCCGTGTGTTCAACATCTGATTCGGATGAACTATCCATTTGAGCTGATATTCTCAGAACACCACACAGCACCGTCATCGGCTGACAGCTGACAGTCTGAGTCTACACTGTTACTTAGGGTGTATTCACACCAGGAAAGTCCGATAGTTCACTTGCTTTGGTCCGGACCAAATAATTTTTTTTTTTTTTTTTGGTACGGTTCGCTTTCACACTGCGCTTTTTGCAAGTGAACCAAAATTTGTCAACAAAACCACACGTGTGCTAAGGTCGTCCATTCATTGGACAAGGATTCTCAAGTAGGGAAATCAGGAAGTGCAAAAAAGGTTCAGCATGGAGATATTTCGTACTGCAATATTTGTTATTTTACTAATTTTGTGTTATTCTGTACAAACGCAATATGAAGAAACTGCGCAGAAGACGGATAAGGTATAAAGTTTTGATTCATAGAGAGGGGCTATGTTCACACATTCAAATAATGAGATTCTTATTGTATATAGGCTACTGATACTGTCAATGTTAACACTTGCGATTTAAGTTTGTCCAGTTTAATGCAGCGTCATCCTTGTATTGTAACTATCGTTATGAACTGCAAAAGCTTTTTTTTGCATCTATGCGCGATTAGACTAAAGAGAACGCGCTGTATGTGAATGTCCTGATGCACACACTCATTCATTCATTCCATTCCAATGATGCACACACACGGCGCGCAGAAAGACGCGCAACAGTATCGTGTGGCCAGACAGCGCGCCGGAATGGAATTCTCTTTCGCACTTGAACAACAATAACACAAACCATTATGCCAAAATCTCCGACTACGGAAGCCTTTTAACTCAAAGGCGCGGTGCTTTCTTGCAATTGGGTCGGTTCATGTTCACACCGTAAACGAACCGTACCAGAGTTCGTTTGGAACCGTACCGAGACCACCTCTTCAGCTGGGTCTCGGTTCGGTTGTTTGGTCCGCACCCGAGTTCGATTGCTGTATTCACACCTGCCCAAAAGGTCCGCACCAAGGGGGGAAACGAACTAGAGTTCGATTCAATCGAACCAAACAAGGCAGGTGTGAATACACCCTTAGTTACCAATGATCGCGCGCGCGCACTCGACAATCGCCTACTGTGGACTTCGACCGAAAACAGGAAGAAAATACGGGTGTGAGCTGGCTGAATAAACATCATTTTTATTCATATCTTTCACATTTACTGGAGTCCGATTCACCGTGTTCACTCACATGGCTGTGCACTTGTAATGACACATTAAGGTTGTTAAGAGGCTAAAAGCAGGTTTAAAACTTTTCCCGTTTAAGTCAACAGGGTGCAAATTTTAAAAAGAGGATAACACGGTGTAGGCAACACCGGTTTTTGTCGTTGTTATCTGTTCTGACAGCACTCCAAATTTACAAAAAATGAGCTCAATGTTAAAATTGACCGGAGTTTTCCTTTAACGTTTGAACAACGTTACCATGGGAGTGAACGGAGTTGTCAAAAAGCTTAATAAAGTTTGACTTTATCTGACTGTTTTGTTGACATCTAGTGGATGCATAACGCAAACCCAGTCAAACGTTTGACTGCAGTATCTTATGCGCCTTATAATCCGGTGCGCCCTATATATGAAAAATGTTCTAAAATAGGTCATTCATTGAAGGTGCGCCTTATAATCCGGTGCGCCGTATAGTGCGGAAAATACGGTACATCGACTCTTTATAACTTATAATTTAATCAGTGTGGTATTGTCGGTTAAAAAAATGGGGATTTTGAATGAATCAATGAGCAATAACATTAAATCTGAACAGAATTTGCTATAGAAAAGCAAATAAACTAGAACACACTAAGGGAGCCTATTTTCTCAGCCAAAATAACAATTCAAAAATGTAATTGTGAGAAATATTTCAAAATAAGAAATAAAGTCCCATTCTGACCAGCATAGGCTCGTTAGAAAAACGTTCTTCTACCTACATTTTTTGCATAATTCCAAAAAAGTAACTATACATAATATTCACTGCAGTTTCCAGGTGAAATTAACACTTTTGTTCCTTTTTTTTTACACAAATTAAAATGACTGGGCTTATTAAATTGGGCACAAATTAAATGACTTATGATTGATAACGACTTATTTTTTGCACAGTTCCTTCCACACATTAATATATTATGACTTAATAATACTGTAGCACATGACTTACGAAACGAGTCCTAGCACGAGTCCCGTGAAACAAAAGTCACTTATGTAACTTATCACATAAGTTAAGTTACATTTATGGTCAAAATATAGCTAGTTGATTACTTCAGCAAATACTTTTTATCTCACGTTTGCATTTTTTAACACTATAGGTTACGGTAGAGTTAAGTGTAGGTGGTACGTTATTTTCAAAAGCTTAGAGCATTAACATTTTAGCGCCACTCACTGGACATTTAATTTCCGAATTGCAGCGATACGTACAATACACTAACTTGACATTTCAAGTGTCACAAAACATGAAAGAAGCTACACAATATATTTTAGCAGAAATGTCGCCACATGCCTGGGTTAATTGTGACATAAATTTACAATTGTGCGATATAGAGTTGAACTTTTTGTCGCAAATGCAATTACGAGAAATCGCAAGTATACAAGTTTGACAAAGTCAAAACTGTGAGACATATAAAGAGATAAAGGTAAATCAGCATATATCAGCACATATATTTAAATCAGCAGTTTAGTTACTGCCAAAACACTGTCACACACACACACACACACACACACACACACACACACACACACACACACACACACACACACACACACACACACACACACACACACACACACACACACACATACACAGTGGTTTACACAGTGCCGCTGCTAGCCATTTTGGTGCCCTAAGCATAATTCCTTTATGATGCCCCCCCGCCCCCCCTAAAAAAAACATTTTTATTTAGGATTTTCATTTAGGGGGGCTAAGCCCCCAATGAGGGTATGATTTATAAAAAAATTAAAAAGCTAAAAAGTAACACTTTAGATTAGGGTCTAATGCTTACTATTAACTAGTTTCATTACCATGCAATGGCATGGTTTTATAATCACTGGGATACCGAATTTGAGGCAGGTTAGTTAGGGGTGTTCGGGGGAAATTTGGGATTTTTCTCAACTACAGATGTGCATTTTAAAGATGTTGTGAAGGCAAAAAAAAAAAAAAAAAAAAAATTGATAACAACAGCTTTAAAACCATGTCAGTGGGCAGCTGATTATTTTTCTCTCCTCATCAGCATCACACTCTTTTTCTCTTTGTTTTTATCTTGCCCTGTCTCTTCCCCTCCTAAAGTTGGCTTTTTTAATTTACTAAAGGTTACAATTTGTATTTTATTCTCAATATGTACACATTCATTATAAATCCTGTGCCTAACATGATGAAAACGGCTTTGTTCATGTTTCTTGTCTCCTCACAATGACAGTAGCCTAAACTATTACACTAGGCTACATGTTACATAGGCCTATTTTCAGTTCAAAATGGCGAAATTAGACAAAACTATATTAGTTTGCCTAATTATTTTTTGTCATTCGTTTAACATTTATGACCTAAAAAAAACTGTCAAATAAAGTTAAGTTTAGCTACTTACATCTTATCTCGCACTTGACCGTACACTGAAGCGTCGAGTTGCACTGTTAAAATTCGCGCTCAGCGTCTGTGAACATAAAGCCCGCCTACTTTGATTTGATTGGTCATCTCAAATATTCTGACATTGACGAGCAGTGACAGACCAATGAGGCTCAGATGAACACACACATGAACACATCACACACACACACACACACACACACGCACACACACACACACCCTGTCCTGTGTTTCTGACGTGCTGTCTCTGCTCGGCGCCGCTGCGGAATGAAGAGGAAGAACGCGCTGAATCTGGTTATAACAAGAAGTTTGATGATTGGTTTTTCATTAGGCTATTTTTGGTGCCCCCTCAGCACTTGGTGCCCTACGCACAGCGCGTGATGCGCGTGGTGGGAGCGGCGGCGCTGGGTTTACAATCTTTGTGGGAACTCTCCATAGACGTAATGGTTTGTATACTGTACAAATTGTATATTCTTTCCCCTAACACTAACCCTACCCATAAACCTACCCATCACAGAAAACTTTCTGCATTTTTACATTTTCAAAAAAACTCATTCTGTATGATTTATAAGCTTGTTTCCTCATGGGGACCTCAATTTAGGCCCCCACGGTGACACAAGTCCCCATGAGTCAGTGTGCATTCAGGTTGAAGTCCCCACAGGGATATAAAAACATGTACACACACACACACACAAATTCCAGCTCAGCAGTTCCAGTTATTGAAACCAATCTCATAATCCTCAAAATCTCCCTAAATTTTAATCGAAGATGTATGAATCACTTGAGAACTGTATGCATGAGCAGTCATCTGATTGATCACCCGACTCAGGAAGAATTACGGCAAGAATTGCATTCTTTATGCTGTCGTGCATTTAAGTATATTTTGCATGTGCAGTAAAATGCATTTCTCCAGACATGGGCATACTGTGTCATTATAGACTGTCTGCGCCAATATAAATTCCACAAATCCAACACCCCTAATCATTTTCAGATCAGCCAATAGGGTGTGTCCACACAAATCCCAAAGCAGGAGAAATATTGGACATCAGTGACTGCTGGAGCCCGATTCTCTTCCACACATGACATACAGGACGGAGGAAGGATGCATGCTGTAATTGTAGAATTAGTGAAGTGTGCCCAGCCGTGGGCCTGTGTGTGTGTGTGTGTTTGTGAGTGCCATAAATCAAGCGGAGACACGTACTGCTCCTCACACGTCTTATACAGTGTGTTTAATGGACTTTTTACTGCAGGGAAGCAGTCGATTAGCACTTAGCAACCCAAACTTACTCAAGCCCAAACACAAAGGGTTTCCATGGGTAGGAAGTGAAAAGGATTTAAAACTGTAAGTGCTCACTGAGGGAGATCTGAAGGAACTACAGGGACGAGTCCAGGACAGCTCTATAAAACAACACTGCAGAACTGCATTTAAAAATCTTTGCAGCTAGCTTTAAAATAAGAGAATAAACTAGTTGATAAAAAAAATTATATGAAATATTCTCTAAATATACAATAATACCTTTAATTATCATTTTGAAAATGTATTAAATTCTAAATCATTTAAATGGCAGAATTCAATTCATTTTATTTTATTTTAAAATTTTATTAAATTTAATAGATTAATGCTTTATATTATACTTTATAATGTATACTATATATATATGTTATTCTATTATAATGCAATTATTACTACTTTATATATATATATATATAGCATACTATATATATATATATTCAAATTGCATAATAAATTGTTTTTAATTTGAATTGTAAAATTGTATTATAACTTTAATAGATTAACATGTTTCTTTTCTTTTTTCTGTTTGAACTTCTAATCGTTATTAAAGCATGTTGAGCTATTTTTAGGTTATTTTAAGAAATTCCCAGCACCTGGTGGACAGAGAGTTTGCAGAACAATGCAACATGTGTTGGTGTAGGAGTGGGAACCTTTTGGGAGCGTAGAGAAAACACTGACAGAGCGTTTGACAGATAGGAATGCGTAAGCTTCGGTTTGGGCCATGTCAGTTTGAAATCAAGTGCAGATCTGAAAGCACAACTGAACCTTTCTGGAATTCTCATTGGTCCCCCTGAGAGTGTGTTGCGGCAAAACAAAACATTTTTGTTCATATGATGGAGTGTCACTTTCTTGATGGTTAATTTCTTTAAGATATTCAATTACACACCATGTGTTGTGTTTGTTATGCTGTGTTTCTTCTGTGTTTGTTGTACATACAAGTGCAACTGTTTGGATTGAGTTTCTGCTGCTTGTGTTTCTCCTGCAGGATGATAAAGATCTGGTGCATGAGTTTGTGATGGCTGAGGGACTCACATGTCTGATTAAAGTGGGAGCTGAGGCCGACCAAAACTACCAGAACTACATCCTCAGAGGTACCACATGACCACACATGACACTGTACACTCAATGTATATGATTCAAGAGATCAAACATAAAAAACGAGCGCTATAAAACATTGTTTAGGTTACAATATATAATATATATCCACCAGACACATGATGCATAGTAATTAACAGCAATATTTGCCTATACACTACTGTTAAAATGTTTCATTTTTAGCTTTTTTTTTTAAAGAAATTAGTTTTGTTCAGCAATAATGCATGAAATTGCTTAAAAGTGACAGTGAACATATACTTTTGCAAAATATTTCAAATAAATGCTGTTCTTTTGAACTTTCTTTTCATCAAAAACAACATTGATAATAATAAGATGTTTCTTGAGCACCAAATCATCATATTAGACTGATTTCTGAAGGATCATGTGACTGAAGACTGATGCAATGAATGCTGAAAACTCGGATTTGCCATCACAGGGATACATTTCTTTTTAAAACATATTAAAATTGAATTCAGTTATTTTAATTGTAATAATATTTCACAATATTTTTGTTACTGTAATTTTAATCAAATAAATGTAGCCTTAAGCATAAGTGACTTCTTTGGAAAAACATTAAACTATCTTACTGACACCAAACTTTTAAGCTGTATTGTGTTTTTGTTGTAACTTTCTAATTTAAGAAAATGTCACTCAGAGACTTCCATGAACATTTTTGAGTGTCAAATTAATTGCTGAATCAGAATTTTTAACTGATTTACTGAAATTGACAGTTTCAACAGATTTATGGAAATGAATCAAATCAAAACTTTGAATCATATTTATTGATTTATCCATTTATTAACTAAACCACAAATAATATTGAAATATTGTGGAATTCTAAAAACTGCAATAAAATCATTATGATGTTAATATTTTATCGTCAGCAAAATTATTGTAAATATATTATTAAAATATATCGCCCCAACTTAATTAATAGCTACATCAGAATTTTAAGTATAGAACAGTAACAAAATGAGTAGATTTATAATTAAAATTGTAAATGCTTGTATATTCTTATGAATTAGTGTTCACTGAAGTGTGTTGTGACTGACTCTTCATATTGTAACTACCAGTGGTGTCACTACAAACCACTAACACTATACCACAATACCAAATATCTATACATCCACACCACATCACAAGGAGTTAAATAACTACGACACAATACATTTTAAAGCTGGGCACCAAACATTTTCCACCCAGCACTATTAATTGTCAATAAAGCATCAAAATGTCTTCATTTCCTCAGAGGGAGGGGTGTCAGGGGGGTTGTTGAAATTCAGTTTACGATCTGCAACATCCTGCCAAGCCTTTTTATTGGACGTTAAAGCATGTGGGCGCTGCCCTCTCGCAGTGGGCTGTGAAATGCGGGTGACCTTTCGGAGAGGGTTTTCCAGTCCCCTTTAGACCTCCCCACTGGCCTGCAACCTCATCCCCAGGCAGAGGAAGCTCTTAGCAGCCTGTTAACATGCCTGACCTTTCACCTCACATGCATGGAGAGAATAAATTAGCCAGGGCAAACAGGAGCAACACGTTTGTGAATGGTAATTATTGGGGTCAATGAACGGTGCGTGTGATGGTGCATTTCAGTGTTTCGTTTGGTTACATCTGGGCATCTGAAGTGTATTTGTGTGGTATACTCGTATGTTTAAGCTGGAGGGTATCAGCTTCCCTTTTTAAAAGGTTGTTTGTGCATGTGGGTGGCGGGGCGTCTGTGTGTATACAAATGTGTATACAAATACACAAAAGCAGAACATTACATTAGAGCCATATGACGTACTGTATTTACAGTATGCAATGTTGGGAATTCAGTGTAAGCAGCTCTGGCCTTCTATTTTTAATCCTCACTTTGAACAGCTATAGGTTTATTTTGCTATAGTAAAAAATCACCAAACTTTATAAATTATTATAATTTACAAACTTAATTTATTTAAAATGTCAATGTGCCTCAAGGACCCATAGATTTGGATCAGCTAGAAATCAGTCAAATAAATCACTAAATTAATGTTGTCTATATGTACTATTTGTGTATATTATATACAATACAATACACACTACAGTTAAAACGTTTTGGGTCAGTAAGATTTTTTTAAATGCTTTTGAAGGCTCATTCTCACCTAGGCTGCATCAAAAATATATTTGATCAAAAATGAAATATTGAACTATTTTAATATTTTTTAAAATTCAATTTATTCCTGGTATGGCTAAGCCGAATTTTCAGCATCATTGTTCCAGTCTTTAGTGTCACATGATCCTTCAGAAATCCTTCTAATATGCTGATTTGGCTCTCAAGAAACATTTCTGTCAACATCAATGTTGAAAACAGTTGTGCTGCTTAATATTTTTGTGGATTTTTCTTTTTTTTGTGTGTGCAGGATTCTTTTATAATCAGGAAGTTTAAAAGAACAGAATTTATTTGAAATAGAAATCTTATATATCATTACAAATGTGGATCCTTACTGAATAAAAGTATTAGTTTCTTTCTTTCAAAAACATGAACAAACAATCTTTCTGACCCCAAACTTTAAAATGGTAGTGTATGTCATTCCAGTATATTGTATGTTGTTTGTAAAAGCTACATGAATTCAGTGTTCATGTGTGTTTTGAGAGAGCTTAAAGTGATTTCTTTACTGGGGTTGCTTGTTTATAGTCAAAGCAATTGGATTTACAGGGCCAGGGACTGACGACAGACACCTAAACACTAAATCCGCATGTTGAGACTTACTGGCAGTCTGTACGATTTACAGCCTGTCCGCAATGACAGCGGCTTTCTGTAACACAAAAACAAAGCTACACATTACTCCCCATAGCATAATATTTCAGCTAGCCCAAACTGGAAATGCATTTTGTGCATTCGACTGGTACAACAGTTACACTGGACGGTTCCTAAAGAAGTATTTTTCTCAATGTATCGTGGCTCTGAGTGAGTGCTTCAGGTGTTTTTGAGTGAAATAGACAGTAACAATGTGCCTATTCCCTTTTAGACCTGCACATTTTATTTTTTAGTTTCCACACCCAGATGATTCATGCTGCTGCTATGCTTTTATGGACTCTCAGTAAGACTCAGCACACCTTTGGGTAACAGGATGCCATAATTATCTCAAACTGAGCCTGCGTGCTTCCCTAAAGGTCATGCATCCTTATATTTACAGCTAAACTAGTTTCAGTATAAAACACACAGTTGAAATGAAGTTGCATTGTCCTAGTGGGACCTGATTTCAATGTGTTTACTTGCAATCAGTGCTTGTGCCCTGGTTATGGGTTTGAACCCACATTGACACAAACAACCCAGTTGATTAAGATGCCAAATGCCAAATTCCCATCTGGGACCGAGAGAAACTGAAAGAGAATGAGAGATACAGTGAGAGAGATCAAGAGGATGATGATGATGATGATGATGACAAGCAGTCTAAATGATAGCTTCAATCCCTTCCTGCTCTTTTTAATCACTCATTTGTACTTTGTTTACTTCATTTGTCTCTGTTTTTGGTGTTTTTGTGCGAGTTGGTTGTTTGTTTGGAATGGATCGTTCTGGCTGTGGGAAAGAGCTGCTGTTATAGCCTGTCTTCTCTTTAGCATGGCTGTAACCTGGCTCACAGATGACCTAGTTTCTCATGACCAGAAGAAGAAACACACGCTGCGGTGATCGTTTCCTTCCAATGTTTTTTTAGGGAGCATGCACACTGAGGTGCAAAAGTCTGAGACCACATTGAAAATGTGTCATTTTTTCATTTTTACTGGAAATAACCAAAACGTTGTGTAGACAGAATTTTTTTTTTTGTGACAATTAATATGTTAAAGTTGCACTCAGCAGTTTAGTTTACGTTGCGCTGAATGATGTCATTTTTGCCTGGCACCTAGAGACACCTAGTGGTGTGGATGTAGCATCAAGCAAAAGCAAATATGTTTGGTTAGCGATGCCATTGTAGAAATGCGCAATTCACAATCAACCATTTTTCATGTATTCCACAATCAAAAGTATCAAATATTATTGAGAATACTTAGTTAAAGCAAGTTTTCGTTTAATCACGTGATTTCAAAATGGCTGCCCCCATGAGGCGACCGGTTCCAAGTAGAATAACATAGAAAATACTCATACATACATTTAGGAGGCTCTTTTAAAGCCGGAATACACCGTGACAATTATTTTCAAAGTTGTAGATAAAACTGATTATTGGTAAATATTTCAGTCGTTCTACCTCAAAATTTCATCTTTAAATCAATTGGTTACTTGCTGTTTCTTTTCATTGTGAAATTTACAAGCAATTTCCAAGTGAAAACTGTTTCTACACCATTTGTTCCTCCAGTGTACCCTGCATGACTTTTGCCCAAGTTTTTGTCCCATTTTACTGTCCGGAAGAGTGAATGAGTTGTCGAAAGTCAGGGCCAGAGTTTTCACAGAAAATTGCGTATTGTACGAGTGTTTTTTTTTTTTTAGCTTTTTAGATTATGATTCCATCCAATTAAGAGGATGGAATTCCCATGTTCTAAAATTTTGATCTGATTTTAGAACACATTGTTTAAATTTGTAATGTTTCTGCACGATTTGTTGTGTTCAGAATGACTTGAAAGTCAGCCAGTGTGTGATCTTCAGTTGTTTAGTGAGTGAATGATGCCCAGTTTTCTCTGTAACTGTTGACAAATCGGCAAGTGAATGATGTTCAGGTTGCGTTCAGATTTTAAATGTTGTTTAGTGTATTCCAGCCTTTATCCAAAGCCTCTTATACTTTGACTTTACAAGGTATGCATTTTATCAGTTCATGCATTCCATGGGAATCAAACCCATTACTTTGGAGTTGCTAAAGCCATTCTCTACTTTTTTAACACAAATTTCCAGCACATTTCAGCACATTAAACATGCATTTGTCAATACAGATCCACATCTTCTCTTGGGGGAACATGACATATCATGGTGAGATAAGGCAGCTCTTCTGCTGGGCCGCTCTTGTTGGCTGCTTTGAGCACCAGGGGTATCATTGATAGGAATACTAGAGGC